ATTGCTCTTTAAATCGCAGTGTGATTTATAGTTCACCAAGGTATTATTTACTTATCCACTGTCACTCAAATTCAACCGGTACACTGGAATTTATTCCTTCAGCAAAACTCTAGGTTTACTGTGCAATAATGAATATAAACACCAGTTTTATACAACACGGACCAGCCATTTCCCAGGTGAAGGCTTTTCACCAGAGTTTACCGTCTTTCATTCGTCCAACGTCTTCCTTTTTGTAACAAGTGTCTCATGAAGTAACCACCTTGTTTATCCCCTGCCTCTCGAGTACAACCATCATTGCCCAGTTTTACTCCGGTTACTCATGAGTAGTATAAATCCAGAACACATTTAGTGCTCATCCAATTAAAGCACGGATTATCTGAAGCGCTTCATAATTGATGGAATAGGGCTTAATCTCTCCAATTGATGATCACAGCAATACTTCCCAGTTAGCTTTCGCGCCGAGTTTTCCGAAAAAATGAAGAAATTTCAAATATCATTTTTCGAAAGATACGAGTTCCATGAAACTTCAGCATTTAATTGACTATCCCAAACTTAGTATTTCTAAAGACGAACAACTATGGCTACGTAGATAGCAGTATGTAAATAATCAAACAGGTAAATTTAAAAAGTATAGCACTGATTTGGTACACAATTTAAGCGAACAAAACTTGCTTTTGTTCTCAAAAATATAGGATATCCCATTGATTACTCCGTGGAAAATGTATTGTACGAGTTCTGTCAGAAATCCAAGTTTGCTACTTAAAAATACACTGTCACTTTGCACTTCCTTCTCCGCGACTAAGGCCGATCTAGGAAAGGAAGAGAAGTGTATCTGAAAACAACTTAATTGGAAAAATTTCAATATAAAACCAGAACCTAATATAAGAATAGAAGAATAGAATAGAAGAATATAAGAATAAAGTACCAATCGTTGCGGGTAATAAAAAACGGACGCAATAGGTCCGGATCCTATGTCTAACGCTAGACTTTTAGCAGATCGATAGATAGCCTGCAAACTAGGTGTTGTATGAGCTTTAATGATCCCAGTGTTCAGCAACCAGATCATATCCGGGATCGATAACACGCTCATCCTTACGAAGCTATGTGTGCAAGTGTTTGAGAATAACATTTTGGAGATCACTTTATTGTCCAAACCATTGGTATTGGGAAGTTCACATCGACATTGCATTCCGACGGCTTGGCTGCTGAGTCAAGGTTACCAAGGTTCAGTGTTTCGAAACTTTAAAGAACTTCACCAAGGAGAGTAAGTTTCTGAGAGTCTGGCCAAATCCTGAGGGAGTGCAGATGCTTCCTAAATAAGGTGAAACAGTTTTACAGTACGTGCATCTTCAAGATGTTCCGTGTGCATGATATATTCAGTATTGATAAACACATTGAATCTCCCTAATTGTTTCACACTACATAACCAGCTGCTTACAACCAACTTCCATGATCGTACTGACCTGAGATAATAATGATTTCCCAGAGTGACCCCACTAGAAAAATTCTAATCCGAAGGCGACTTCCGTTCTCCATTCCGTTTATCACAAGCTAGGGGGTTATCGGCGCACACTCTTCTATCAGTTGTTTGCATTCTATCATCGATTTTGTTTGCGAATAAATAGCTTGGAATGGTATAAACAGTTCGAGTTGTGGAAATCCGTGAGAAAGTATATAGGTTTCCACTGTGCGCCGTATTTGCAAATGTGTACTAGTTACCCATTTAAATGTGAAATCAGATATATGGGAATTTATAAGGAGAACAGATGATCTTATGCAAATCGCTCTAAAAGTATTTTCGTTCAGTGTGCATCATCCCAGATGCTTATGTCAGGAGCCTGATTTGGCTGAAATGGGTGCAAATATTGAATCCGTTATGCGTCAGATTTTGATGCACGTTACCTAAGGTTAAGTTGGTTTATGATATCTGAGAACAGAAATAGTAACGGTTAAAGACTTTTCAATGCACTCATTTTACCGGAGAGCTTTGTAACATATATATATATATTTCAATCAGCGAAATGATACGTTTGGAGACCGAAAAGATCACCGGTGTTCTATTTCATTCTTGTTTGGGCTCATATTCACTGCATAGGTTTTTCGTCCCGGGTGGGACTTGAAAGGCGAAGCTTTGAGTTGGGGACCTTCAGCTACATGGCCAATCAGCAACTCCTGCGTCTCGGTTTTTTTTATTACACTTGTTCTTAGTTTAGTCGCACGTGATTTTAGAGACAGGGGATCTGTATTTTGTTGTCGTGGTGCATATTTCACTCATATGACGCTCATTTACTGCCTACATTCTGGTGATGATATTCGTAAATTCTGATGAAGGTTCCCGGTTCGAGTCCCAGTAGAACGCAAGAGATTTACTCACATGCTTTCAATGTGAATGACAAGGTATGACAAAAAACGAATAATTTTGTCAGAAAAAACTAATGAATCGATTAGTTAGGCATGTGATTGTTGTTTCATATGCTGTTAGAACGGAAAAAATGTTAATTAAAAGTGTGATCAAACGGAATGTATTGGCCTTGGCTTATTCCATTAACGAAAAAATAAATAGCCGTTATTTTTAAAAAATTATCTCTGGTTTAATTGAGTATTTTTAGATGGATTCATTGTATTTATGTGGATAGTCTTTTGGAATGAAATAATATTGTTTTTCTTTTTAGAGGCAACAATAAATAAAATATAAGTCCAAAGTTTTTCTCTCTGATTCATTCCCTTCTGTATCCATTTGACAAATTAGCAACAATGAATAAAATAACTACTATGGTTACATATTTTGATCATAAATTTGAAAAAGTTTACTCGAATTACATCATAATTGTAATTTAAGCGCGTAGTTTGTGGCAAGAGTTACTAATATTCGGCACCCTCCAACGTCTGATGGGTCAATAAAATACAGTATTCACCCTTTCCAAAGTACTTCCATACCTTACAAAAAGCAATACAGTGCTACCGATTGCTACAGCAACAGGGCAAATGACGGACAATTATCTAATTAATCGTTTTGGTCTGTACCTAGTCCATGAACTACAGACGGCGTTTATTTCCCGCATTAACACATGCCTAACATACATATAATAACGTAATTTGGATGGATTTATAGTCAACGACTACGTGTGTTCCGTGTCCAAATTCGCAACGAACATTTGAACTACCTGCAATTTTGTGAGTAGGTGAAAGATAAGTTCACAAATCCTCAATCGTTATGGTCTTACATTGTCATTTTCTTTCTGCCCTCGTGTAGCCCTTTACAACCATAACTGAACAACCCAACGCAATACCCTTGATATATATGAATTAATTGCTCAGAATAAAGATTGTTGTTTAATCCCGCTTAACATAATTATAATTTTGATTGCTAAGCAATTATTTTCACCAACCAGAACCAGGTCTTCTGTGTCACCAGTTTCAATTATAGGAATGCACGAAGATGAAGATTTTTGCAGAACTGTCTCATTGAAAACTAGCTTAAAACTCAGCAGACTCGTAAGTGACACCCGTTGAAAATGCTAAACTGAAGTACAAAAACAACACTTACCATGACTGTTAACATGCATGACCATGCTGTTTATAATTTGCAACAAATGATTTTCCCCATTTGTTGGAAGTCCTTATTAATCCATTACTGTTTGTACTAGATTCAGAGACGAACCTCCGGAAAAGTGCCTATGATTATGAATGTGGATCGAAAATCCAGCGTCTAACATTCCGATACGGATTTTATTCCACAGTTTATCAGACACGTGTGCAGTATACCAGTTTTGGTTCTCGACTGGTTTAGATCAAGTTGCAGAGTTTTAAAGAATCTGCCTTTCTTTAACGAAGCAGAAAGTCAAATACATCGCAAAGTATACATTAGGAGAAATTTCAATTTATTTCATCATACCACTGAACCAATAACAACTAATTAGCATATTTCTGGGCTATACTCAATGAATGATTTTATTGTCGGCACACGGAAATGATAGTGAATAAATTTTGTGGGAAAATTCATATAAAATATTTCTCTTAGAAGGGTTCACCTTAATCACTAAATGAGCGGGTCCGCGACTGTCCGAGAACATCACTTCCTAAACAGTTTTTGTCGATAATACTCCAAAACTTTGACTGTATCGATATATTTCCGTTGAAATAACAAAGTTTAAGGGTTTTTATCCTACACAGTTACCAACAGTGTGCACTCGTTCAAATAGGTCATATCGGACTGGTCTATAATTCGTCGAGCCATCATTTTGTTACTCTTAAATCAGTACCCAGAATAATCTGCTTCAGCACATTGCATAAAGACTATTGATCGGTTTAATCCCATACCCACCGCCTAGATAGTTGATGGGTTAACGCATTACTTCCTAAGCTATTGGTTCAATGAATGTTTACTGGCAATGTCTATCAATTCTGTTAAACTATTTTACATTGTCTGGCGGCTATCGATTTGACGCTTTTCCTTTTTAACGCATGATCTATTGCCATTAACAACCGACTTCAAACGTCTCCTTCGGCACCGTCACATTTTCTTACTTCGTAATCCGTGTTCAACTTCTAGGGTCAATACCAACATATAGAGGCCAAATTGGGGGTCAAAAACGTCGTGTAAATGAATGACTGGGAGAAAACAGCAATGGGGAACTAGATGTAACTCTTCTGATTTGTTTTATTTTCATAAGATCTATCAAGAATGAAACTGGTTAATTCGCTGACTCACTAGCGACACAGCAGGTGATTCTGAGGACTGATTTAGACGCCCTTGTCCTGATAATGATGCGATCCAACAATAAATGTTTCTGCTCCCGTATTGTGTACCCTGATACGGCCAAACATTCAAACGCGCAGCCGTTGTTAAACTTATCTTCCGACTAATTTGAAATGATAGTATGACATTGGTTTACCGATAAAGATCCAGATAACATTTAGGTTTTTCTTGGGTTTACAGTGATTCAGAACACCTCCCTCTCGTTCGCTCCCTACTTTCTATACAACCTGTTGACATATAGATATTGATGAGTGCGCTCAGAAACCGGATCGTTGTGGAAAGGAGCATCGTTGTGTCAACGTGGAAGGCTCGTATAATTGCGTATGCGCTCCAGGGTATCAAGCTACAGACGATTCCAAGCGCTGCGTAGGTAAGTTCCCACAGTCCCCAATTTTGGATTCTTTCGGATAAAATTAGAGAGAAGTAGAATTGTTCGAATCATCAATCAGATAAAACAACCGACCGGATCGATCACGATGGGGATAAAATGTACTTTTTTCTCATTGTTAACCTCAACGTGATTAATGTGTTGTCCACTTTTTGCGTCAATCCGCCTGGCGGATAGCAGTGATATTTACTGGGGCGAGTTCGAACCCATTTTGAATGTTGTGATATAGGGAATTTTTCAACTAATCTGGTACGAGCACACATAAACGTCTGCACGATTGTGCGTCGGTATCATTCGATAAAACGCCATACACTGCTCATCGAATTATCGCATGTGTGGATGCAATCCAGTTTACCCTTTTTACAAGACTTACATAAGTATCATTTTCGACGAACCAACTTAATTAGAGCATTCAAATATACAGATTTGTATATTATATCAAGGAATTATTTTGCTACAAGCCTACATGGGCATAGAGCAGTTTCAGTTATGAATAATTTATAGTAAAAACGGCTGTCTTTTGGGTCAAGAAAGGAGATGCATATTTACTCTCATCAAACCGGATGGCAATCAAAATAATCAGGAAGTGAATAATAAAATCACACCATTTACAAGCCTATTTATATATTACCCATGAACTTCACATGCTCTCGTTCAGCTCTAAACGCGCAAAACTACATGATTATCTCCCGAACTATATGGTGCAGATTGTACTGTAAAAACCTGCTCTGCATTTCTTTTTTATCGAATATAATTTTATGATCACCATCAAGGTAATGGGGTGGGGGGGGGAGTGTTGCCGTTGTTGTTCCGGTCTCGGAACACACAGAAATGGAAGTCGGACGGCAATAGTGGTGCAATTCGAACTTGCAAACTCGGGTGAGGTGTAATGATGACCTGAACCTTTATATGAGTTTCACAGCTGAAAAAGTGGTTTTCAAAATGACTTTGTACAAAGAACTGAAAATGACAAGGGTGTATGATTTATTTACATTATCATTCTCGTGCATTTCAACTGAATAAAACTCATTCACATGTATTCAAAGTGAATCAATCTCACACATTTTGGATTTAGTAATACCCATCACCAAGGAACAGTTAGAGTGCTATTGAGTTCATATGCTGGAAAAAATAGGATATTATCGATGGGTTCACTTCGGTCTTGACTAGTGTTGGCAACTGATGCTTTTCGATTTTGTAGCACGCACCGAACCAACTCCCTCGGTCAGCTTGATGACCCGTTTTAACGAGATACGTATCTATGACTAGGCAAACCCCTTTAACTATGTCTGGGGTAGCGTTCAACTGGGAAAAGGTTCAGTCATCGTTTAGTCAGGTAAATGTTTCTCCGCTATGCGAATGTAGTTTGCTCTGCACCTAAGCTCAAATTCATAACTCACGTTCGATCAAGTGTGAAGAGATGAAGAAACAATTTCAAGGTAACTTTGGTATCCGACACGCAGTTTAGTGGAATACTTAGTGGTCACAAACTACGTATGTGTAACAGCCACCTGAGTCCATAACGTAGAAATCGACCTTCCTGAACGCGCCCGGAACCGCTAATTGATCTGAATCGACGTGTCGAGTTCACAAAATATAGGAGACAATCCGAGTTTAAAACTCTTGCTTCGGTAAAATGCGTAACGTAATCCTATGATCTATGCCCCGTCAATTAGAATACTTTAAAATATTGTCACTTATAAGGATTTGGCAAATTATTCCCACAATTTTAATCGGTATGGTTAAACAGGCCACATTGTGAAGACCGCGGAATAGTCCGATTCAAGATCTGCATACAAGCATATTGGCTTGTCTTATTAGAACTGTCACAAGTGGAATCAGTGTATTGGCCACTATTTGTCCTCCTGAGAAATATTTCTACAAAGTGTGCCGGTACATCCAAAAAATGTGATTACTTTGCCCATTTCATTTTTAAAGGAAAATTACGTTAAAAATTAAATTGCGACATACTAGATCGATCGTTGCTTGGAGACTGGTCTGTTGCTTCCGCCAGATGCTTTAATCTTCTAAACAATTTGATTTTTGGATCGATAAATCATCGGCTGTATATGAGAACTTAATGCTTCTGTTGAGTGTATTATGGACTGCTATTTAGCTTTTTCCTGCTTTGCCTCATTGAATAACATAGGTTACTATAAATAAAGCACAAATTCCCTGAGGCATGAGCTCCCGTAATTTCATTGTCATTCATAACGAACGAATGCGGACAAGTTCGAACGTATTTAAAACGTCTTCGAAATTCGACGAAAAATATCGTTGATAAGAAATTTGTTCTTGTAATTTGAGATAGATATAGGCGTACAATTGTCCATGTTGTATGACAAAGACAGGTGTTATTATCACCAAAAGTTGACGAAAGCCACCCTTTTGTCGTCCTAGCTTCTCCATATTGTGCTCTTTCCAATTGGTGGTGGTAGTCAAGCAATTAACGTCCTCACTACTTCGGTCATGAGTTCGCATCCCACTGCTAGCGCCCTATTTTCCCTTCTCTGTGTCTCCAAGTAGCGCCTGATCGTTCGCAACCCCCTCGCCGTCATTCCGGGAAGCTGGTTTTACAACTGTACTTAATGAAACAATGAAAGAAAGTTGTACATCACTCGTTTAGTACTCCTTTGAAATTTGTCACTTGGACATTAGTGCATTAGGTCAACACGCCTCATTTTTCTGTATGATCCACAAAATGTATCGCTGGTTGAGGAGACATTTGCTGACTCACATTACACTTTTAGTGCGCAGTTCAGTTGCTAACTCTTAGTTCTATACTCCGGATTTAAGGCATCTTACGTTTGATACCGATTTGGGTAGAACGGATTCACTCATCTTCTGATCAACATATTTGTTTTCTTTTTCCGTATCCGCTGTTACATGATAATATTCCGCAACCAAATCCTTGACAAGTTTCCAGGGTCCAACACACTCCATCCGGCTCCAAACGTACATACACGTTTCACAAGGCTTCAACTGTCAGGTACTTGTCCAGGTTTATCAAGGCTAAAGTAAATTTATTAAATACATTATTCTCCGATCGACTGAGCAAACACCTATGGCAACGTATCAGACTTCTCTGTGAAAGTAAGAAAGTACGGTCGAAGCTGGATGTTGATGTTGATAATCTGAATGCCCTATTCCAGCGCCACTGGTCGAACATTCTTTCTGCGTAGTCGTCACAGAATGTTTGTAACGTGAAGCGGTTGTCAAATTACGATGTGGTAAAACTAAAATAGTTGTAACTCGTTCTCTGCTGCAGACCCGGATGGTTAGCTTCCAGCACTCCTCGAATTTGGCGCTACTTCCCTATCTGCAGCAATCTCATCCATTGTAAATGAATCACTTTACACTTCTGATATCCCAGACCGTTAGATGACGGTCGCAATCATAACAATCACCAAAGCATCCATAACTACTATCCTCCTAACTACTATCTTCCCATAACGTTAACATCTCCACCTCTTAAGTTGACTGGAAAAGTCTATCCTCAAACGCCTTCAGCAGTCTACAAACATCCCATTGATCCTTTACAGTTTGCTTTCAAGCCAAATAGATCTATTTTGGACGCAATTTTCACTCTTATTCATTTTATCACGTCTTTGAACAACTCTGTTAAGTCTGGTCGGTGTATTTTTCTTGGCTACTCCCCAGCATTTCCGTTCCGCGATCAAAGTTGCAACAAAAACTGGAATCGTCTGAATGTCCCATGCAATTGTTAGCTTGCCTTTCCAACTACCTAACTGATAGAGAACAAACTAGTAGATTTAGGAAAGCTTTATCTAAACAAGAACTTCGGAGTTCTTCTAGAAGCTGTGATATTCTTAAACTTATTCTCCACGTACATCTGGGATATCACTTGTATTTCTCCTGCACGTGTTTTGAAATCTGCAGATGATGTTGTGCTGTGACAACCCATTTCTTCTTCCTCCGATCTAAGCTCCTTCACCGACCATATTGGTTAAATTCAACAATTCTCCTCCTTATCGGGGCTAAGCTTAAACCCCAGTTAATGTTGAATGTTTATATGTATGGTTTTGCGCTCTCTTCATAACCAACGGACCCCACAGTAAAAAATAACAATCCTTTATCTAGGGTGAGCTCTGTCAAATATATTGGAGTAACTATAGATAGCAGTTTTCGTCGGTCAACCCACATCTACAACTGCATTGGTAAACTGCGGCGCCCATTATTTCAAATCCGAAAGCTCAGGCAGTTTCGCACATTTCAGTCAGTTGTTTTTACCTTTGTGTACTAGTGTGTTTTCTCTATCTTACTTTATTGTTCCCAAGTTATTTTTCCTGGTTTACGTATACAGGATTGCAAAGTCTTATGCTGCAGTCTGACTATTATTAGCCACGTTTCTTTTATTCCTATGAATGAGTTAGCTGTGAAGCTTTCCTGTGTGAAATTTGCGGAGAGGACTCTCACAGATCCTGACCACTCATTGCACGCAGAACTGACACGTTTTCGTTCCCATCCGTCTACACGCTCCCAGTTCTGCCAAGTTTTACCCCGAATTAACTCTTACCGAAATTCACCTATACCCCATCTTGCATGTTTACTCACAAACAAAAAGAGGTTAACAGGTGAACCTCGTCGTAACCTTGGACTATGAAATGTCCATATGCCTGCAAACACTTTTTCCCCGTTGAAAATGTCCTCTGAGATGGTTGGTGTGCAGAGCTTTTAACTGAACTGTAGTCTGCAGTGGTTCCGAACGGCATATACAATAGGATACAAAGCAACAAGTAAACAGACGTCTTGCTTGATAGTCATACTAACGATACCCTCATGACTCTAGTTAGGATCAGTTTTCAGGTTGAATTGGGAACTGTGATTTCTGGATTTGAACTTTATACTCCTCAAAGGTGCAAGCAATGCAGTCATTTGCAACAGTTCCGTTCCAGTCACTAGTATAAATACTCGTTCCCTGATATTTGGGGTACATTAGTAACGCATTTTAGGCCTCTCGCTTTCATTGAGGACAATATAAATGCGCGCGATGTATCCATTACTCGAAAATGTATGACACATTCGCTCAAAACTTGCGTGGAATATGTGAATCACGTGTCATCTTGAGCCGTCATTCAAACCTAAACACTTTACTTCCTTGTTGTCGTCTACCGTGGGGAAAGGACGATGCACCAGATAGAGCCAATGGATGGTGTAAACTGGCTACATGATGAGAAGAAAACCTGCAGCTTGCCGCATCTCATTCACATTATTCCGACTGAGGATCAGATAGTACAAAGGAAACACATTTCTACATAGTCACAGCTATATAAATAAAATCATTTCCTTGTGTAATGGAAAAGTTTAATTGAACGACAGAGTGCATTTGTCCTAACCCTCAGCCTCTACCCAAACCATTCTTAAGGCTTCTAAAAAGCAGTATAAATTCCAGTAATTTGACAGATTTTAGTGTATAGTTTAGTTTTAGATCACATGAAGTTTTTCTTCGAACCAAACATTACTTGACTATGAACAGCAAAACATTTACCACACAAATTCAAGTAGTAACTCTATGCTGGAACTCGTCTCCTATAACGGAAATTCAGTCGATCAATATTTATTGAATTATTTTGGTCTGGGCGTTTTGAAATAGCCTGGCTTCAAGCTGTGATCTGCACCACAATGGGAATGCAGCGAATTCGCGACAAGTCAGACGAATCAGAGTTGTGCCCGAGTTTTTCCATGTGACGACGAGTAGAATGACTCTGCGCGAGGAGTCCACCTGTCATAAACAAAAGGGTCTTTCAAACTGTTTCACATAAACAAACCAATGTTTTCATGCTGGTTCTTTCACCTAAATCCAGTCCCAGTCCGGAAATAGCGCTCCAAATTCAATTCAAAACATTGACCATTGACTAGTATTTGTTTCAGTCAACGTCACCGTGATGGTCACAGTTGTCGGGTGCAGCTTCATGTTGACATTTTACCACCAGCTCGTATCTTTATCCTTTCTTTATTGGTTTCCTCTGTGCTGTGTTCATCTGCACTGGTGTCGTTTGACCAGAGACTCAGTAGTTTCTATTTTGTCATTCGTTTTGTGTGTGATCTTTTCAATACTAATTCCTGTTGACAACCACGAATATAACGATTCACAAAATACAACCAAAATTACAATCCAATAAGGCTGTAACCTGTCAAACTGCGATATTAATGGACCAACTTCAAGGTCACTATTGCAAATGATTTATCACTCCTGACAATGGATCAATGAATGGTCTGACTGTTTACCCCTCATACTAATTGTGAACTAAATACGCATGTCACTATTTCCCTGAAACAGTTACATCACACTCGTTAAAATGTTTGCTTATAAAGGGAATCGATCAGATTAGTCTTGCGCAAATAATTTTAGAGAGTTTCTAAGATCATTGATAAACAACTCGAGAATTCCTGATCAAGGTCCATCTAATTCTAAAAGAAAGTGATGACCCTCCAGTGTCTGTGTGTGTGTGTGTGTGTGTGTGAATTCAC